ACTATAATGTCCTTATACTAAATTAAAATATATCATGTTTCATACAATTATGGTTGTAAAAATAAATTGAAAGCAGAAATTATATCCAAATAAACATAATCAAATTAATTTAAAATTAAATTAGTTGTTAAAAGTGAATTTTAAAATTATTACATTTTAAAATCGAATAATTTAATTAAAATGTTATTCTTACCTTTAAGTATTCAAATGTGGGCACTTTATTTAATGTAAAAATATATATATATATATATATTATATTAGTTTTAAACACCTTATTTTTAATATTTTGACACTTGTTTTCTTGTTAATAGCGCAACTTTCTAGATCATACTCTCTCCATTTAAAAATGTAAGACATTTTTTGAAGAGTTGGATGTTTAAAAATGTAAGGCATTTTTAATTTTTAGAGATATAATCATTACCTTTTTTTCAAAAATGCCCCTATTGATGAATGACTTTATATTTATTGTAGGGCATTTAATAGAGGTGATATAAAAATATAAGATTAGTTTGAAAGTAGATAACTATTTTATTAAGAATAAAATTTAATTAAAAATGCTTTATAATTTTAAATGGAGGGAGTATGTCTTTTCTGGTTTTAGCTTTTTTGTCCTAGACTCACCGTTCTTCTAAGGTATTATAACTATGGGAAAATTACATTCAAGGATTGCTGGAAGAATCTATTTACAAACAAGTACCAAATAATTATGAAATTAAATTGCAATATCAATAGACCAAAATGTAATTAATTTTTAATGCAAAAAAATAAAATTGCCCCTCAATTTTTTTTAAAAAAATCCTCAACCACCAGCCACTGGAGCTTTGGCACCAATCACTAGACCAGCAAGAGAGGCAGACTACTTTTTTTAAGGTGGCCAAGGTGGGATTTGAACCCACATTCTCTTGGCCACCAAAAATTATTAGCCACTAGGCTAACAAATTCTTTCAATTATATAATGTAAGATTTTATAGATATATATAACTATGTTAATTTTTCATGCCAACATTTATTAGGAGCTCAATGGTTACTTGTCATTTTACAATTTGCTACTTGTTAAACTATTAATGAGACTTGTTAAAAAATTTGATACACACTAATTTTTATCAATACTTACTTGTTTTTATTACTAGAAATGACAAATTTTCATTAATAATTTAACAAGTAACCATTTGTAAAATGACAACACTCGTTACTAGCTTTAAAATTTCTCTTAATAACTTGACAAGAAAATTTTAGCAAAATAATAAGTTTTTATGAGCTTTTAACTTATAAAATTTTATTAATAAAAATAAGTAAACATTTATAAAAATCATTCCACATTAAATTTCTTTGACAAGTCCCCATTGATAATTTAACAAGTGATCATTTGGAAAATGACAAGCCCCATTATGTTTAAAATTTGCTTTCACTTTTCATGTCAACACTTATCAGGAGTTTAATGGTTACTTGTCATTTTATAAATGGCTATTTGTTAAATTAAGTAATGGGACTTGTCATGATAAATTAAGTAACAATGACAAGCCCCATTACTTAATTTATTGTGCTAAAATTTTACATGTCAAAAGTTCGTAGGAACTTATTATTTTGCTAAAATTTTCTTATCAAATTTTATAGAGAAATTTTCAAAGCTAGTAATAGGATTTGTTATTTTACAATTAGTCACTTGTTAAATTATCAACGGAGACTTGTCAAATAAATTTAATGTAGAGTGGTTTTTTTAAATGTTTACTTATTTTATTATTAATATTTTACATGTTAAAAGCTCATAAAAACTTATTATTTGCTAAAATTTTCTTGTTAAATTATTAAGAGAAAATTTCAAAACTAGTAATGGGACTTGTCATTTTGCAAATGATCACTTGTTAAATTATAAATGGGGAGTTGTCAAAGAAATTTAATATGAAATAATTTTTTTAATATTTACTTATTTTTATTTTTAATATTTTACATATTAAAAACTCATAGAAACTTATTATTTTATTAAAATTTTCTTGTTAAGTTATTAAGAGAAATTTTTAAAACTAGTAACGAGACTTATCATTTCACAAATGGTTACTTGTTAAATTTTTAATGAAAACTTGTTATTCCTGGTAATAAAAATAAGTAAGCATTTATAAAAATCAGTATATATTAAAATTTTTTAGCAAGTCCCATTAGTAGTTTAATAAGAAGTCATTTGTAAAATGACAAGTAACTATTAAACTTTTAATAAATGTTGACATGAAAAGTGAAAACAGAATTAAGTATATATATAACTTTGCATTATATAATTAAAAAGATTTGTTAGCCTAGTGGTTAACAATTTTTTAACGGCCAAGAGGATATGGGCTCAAACCCCACCTTGGCCACCTTAAAAAAAATAATTTGCCTCCCTCGCTAGTTCGGTAATTGATGTTGGAGCTCTGATAGTGATCCAACTACTATTGTTGGAGCTGAAATGGCTTATTCGGCGAGGTGGTTTGGCCACTGGCAGTTGGTGGCTGAGGAGCTTTTAAAAAAAATTGAAAGGCAATTTTGTCTTTTGACATGAAAAATTAATTACATTTTGATTCCTTAGTATCACTGCATAATTTTAAAATTATTTGATACTTATCTATAAATAGATTTCTCTAGTAGTTTTTGACTGTAAATTTCCTTATAATTATTTCATCACATTTCTTATTTTGATCATAAGTTTGTCTTATATTGCTATCTTTTTTAGTTCTTTTTAGCACCGAATCTAGTCCAGTCTTTCCCATATGTTCCAAGAGGAGTAGAGGACAACAATTAACATTTAAACGAGATCCGTGAAGAAAAATATATAAAAGTGAAATCAAACTACTGGAAGAATAGCGTTGGCAATTTAGGCTTGGAAGAATAGTACTAGTAATTTGAGCCAAATCTAACGGATTAGCCTGAAAAACTTAGGACCAAGTTTCAAAAAAATAATTTTTTATCATTCTAGCCTATTAGGAGGGTCTATTTGGGAAAATTCAGGCGGCTTGGCCCGAATACCTAGAATATAAAAAATAAATTTTAAAAAAATAAAATATAATAAATATTAATTAATTTTTTAAGTTTTATGTCCTTTTATACTAAAATATCATATATTTGAGTGCACTACTATAGTTATTTTTTAAAAAAAAAAAAAATTTATATTTTCATATTTTTATTATTTTTAATTAATAAAATATCTCAAAATAATATTTAAAATAAATTTTAGGAATGATTTTTATATTTTAAGATTCAATTTTTTTAAAATTTTTTTTGAGTCCTATACATCATTAGCATATCCAAAAAATATATTTTATATTTTTTTATAAAAATAGATAATTAATTTTAAATTAAAAATAATTTTAAAAATAAAATTTGGGCATGTATGAATTTTTGATTCTACTAGTAGATAAAAATTATTAATAAACTAAAGTAAATACCCCTTATATATAGGGTTAAACAATATAAAAAGTTAAAGAAAAATAATTACAAAAATAGTATTTTATTCATGATTAAATGGTTTGTTTTATATAATATAATAATGGCTATTTTTTCATATTTTTAAAAATAAAAAAGTATAATTTATTTAAAAGTTATTAAAAATTTTGAACTAATCGGGGCAATAATTTTAAGTCAATAGTCTAACCATAATTAAATTAAGATTAACTTAATCATAATTTAAATAGTATAATAAAATTAAAATGTATAAAATATTTATATATGACTATAATAAGAGCAATATTTAAATAACTAAGATATTAATTTATAAGTAAAGAAAATATTTATAAATAAATTATACATAATACAATAAAACAGTAACAAAACTACTTAAATACAAAATTAATAAGTTATTATTTTTTATTTTATTCTTTTAAAGTTAAAATAATGTTTTATACTTAACAAAATTATTTACAAATTAAAATTCATTTAAAAAATAAAAAAATTTTTAAAAAGTTTTGGATAGTCGGGCTAACCAAAATAAACCCGAAAGTGTTAGGAATGAACTTGGTTATATAATCTTTTTAAAAAAAGTAAGATATTTCAAGACTAATTTAAATAAATCTAACCTATTTAAATTACCAACTCTATGAAGAATAATGCAACAAAGAACACACCAGAGAAGAAAAAAGCTGCTGCCTGTGTCAAAGTGGCAAAATGAAAATATAGATAACATATAAGAGAGAAGAGGGAGTGAGAGCAAATGGTGGGAATTTTTTTTTTTTTCAAAACCTCACCACAAAAGTTGAAAAGAAAATATAGTGAGTTTTACTTTTTATTTTTTCTCTTACTTTTTTTTTTCTCTCACTTTTCTCTCCTCATTCAAATGAGAAAAGATTTATTTTTTCTCCTATTTTCCTGCTTTCCTCTCATATTTTTCTCTCTATCTAAACATAGCATTACTAATTAATTAATAGTTAGATGAATGAAAATAAAATTTTAAAAATAGAAAAGATGTTTTGCATTTTATAACTATTGATTCTAGGGACATTTTAAGTATAAATTAGTTATAAATTGTTGAAGATTTTTATAATATAGTTTCTAAGATTTACCGCTAATTAGCTTTCAAGATTTATAAAACTTCTTAAAATTATAATTGATTTGCAACTTATATTCTAATTTTATAATTAAGATTTTATAATTAACAAGTTACAACTACAATACATTACTATTGGAAAAGGATATTTTTATCTATTTATATTTTTCCTTAGTGTTTCTATAATTATATGTTTTTCACAAATTTATAGTCTCAGTTTATATATGATTTCACTTTTCAGCCCTTCTATTTCATTCTCTCATTAATTTTTTTTAAGACATAGGTTGAAAAAGTAATTTTTTTAATCACTTACATTATTTATTTAATTAATCATTGAAATTATTTTGGAAAACAAGAAAGAGCATGAGAAACTTTATTATTATTTATTGAACGACATGGACATGGCTCATCCACCAACAAATTACAAGTAGTAGTGATATGAAAAAATGATATTGGAGCATTCTAAATAAAACCTCTCTCAACAAAATCCGAAAACGTAAAACTAATCTCTCAGGAATCGAATTATGAATGAATGAATAATTGGTTAGTTTGGTTTAGAGAAGAAGTTGTTGACAGATGGCATAATCTCAGGACGCCTGTTGCGGAGAAACTTCCTTAGTCCATGTTCCTTATACTTCTCACCCTCTGCGAAGTTCTCGAGCACTCCTGCTGCTCTATTCTCTTTTAGTACCCTGACCATAACATAACCAAATCACCTCTCATTTCACAACACTTTTAAATTTGAGTGTATCATCATCAATAATCAATAACTATTAAAGTTCTAATAAGCCCTAATTTGGATTGAGACACAATTAGACATTAAATACGAACACCTTTTCTAATATATTGATTTTCATACTACCAATTTTTCTTTCTTTCTTACCATTTTCATTGGAATTTTTATCCCATACATTCAAGTTGTCCTTTCAATGTTGTTTACAAATGGAGGAAACTTCGTAGGCCATAACAAATAGTAGCATTTTATTTTTCCTAACAGACACAAGTTGAATTTACCAAGAGAACTAATTAAAGATTTAATTATGTTTACATGTTTTTCTCTAGTATCAAAATGGTCATTTCATTAGTGCATAAGAAACTCATGATAAGGACGAAAAAGGAAACTCATGCGTCTATTAACCAACGCTATCAACTTGTTCATGTATCTTCAGCACAAAACTAAGCTGGAGTTTAGTGTATTAGAAAGGCCATGAATGCTTTCCACAGTGACAATTTTGGTTGCGCAAAAGTATTTGAAGAGAGTACATTGAGAAACTTATTACTGAAGGATTAACATCAGAGGGACTTTTCACGAATCAAATTGATACATTCACATTATATCTGGACTAAATAGAAAAAAGAACTTATCATTAACTATATTAATTTACTGATTTATATATAAAAACAGCCTTGGCTGATGCAGCTATTGTGCAGAGGAAACAATTTAATCTGAAATAAGAATAACAAAGCACAAGATATGCAAAACAGTCATCAATATATGCACCTGACTTCAGGATTGGTAGTGATGTTCCTGATTAGTTGCATGCCGCAGATCCCAACGGCCACACTAACTGAAGCAAAAAGAGGGTAAACCTATTCGCAATACAAGAAACAGGACGCATTAAGAAAATCATCACGTTTTATGCCAAGCATTTCGTGCTCAATCTTACGACTACAATTCTTCCTGACATTGGCTTCTTAAAGACACGAAACACAAAATCGAACCAAGGATCTTCTCCGAGATTTACAAGCTTGATGAGAAAAAATGAATCATTGCTCCTAAGAAATTAACCGATGAGTTTTACGATTTAAAAAAAGAAAAAAGAGAAGAATCTCCGGAGCTATGACTATAAAGTAACGATTCGGATCAGGCGATGCAGCATGTAGAATAGCTGAAATCGAATTCGGATTTTCAATCATTTTCTCGGGAACCAAACAGGATGAACATTGATGAAAACGATCGAATAATTAGAGACAAGGGAAAAGAAGGGAAGAAGTACCTCGGGCTTCAACCATCTGGAGGCAGCCATTTGTAACTAGAAGAGAATAAAAAAGCAGGAGATGCGAGAAAAGAGAAAAACGCAGAAGGTATAACTTGCCTCCTCCAAGAAACTTGAAAGGAAGCAAGAAGGAGAAGAATGAGCTTGGATGAAATTGATGATCAACGGAGTCGAGTTTATATACGTAAACGGCTCGCCAATGTAACGGAGTTCCATGCAATTTCCGTGAAAATAGAAAACGGTGTGTTTCTAAAATGGTTGGTATTGCACCAGTTCTTTCTTTCTTTTTTGGGTTTGACCAATTTTATCATTAACTATTTTCTTAATTCTTGACCACTCGTTCTCGCCACTTCTTCATTTTGGCTTTGTAAGACATAAATAGATTATATTCTAAACTTAAAATTAGTGCGTCATCATTAAAGACATGATTGATAAAATACATGTCTTTATTATAACTAGACTGAATCTCATATGTTACATGAGTTTGATGTAAAATGATAATCTTTAAAGGACAATAATTGATGTCTTGTTTCTGTACAAAATACACACAATTACACACGCTTCACTTAGAGTTTGAAAACATGAGCCAACTCGAATCATATAAATTAGCTTATATGAGTTGAGAAAAATGTGAGTTATATTGGATTTAATCTATTTTTATATAGATTGAAAAAATCTCAATTCAATCATTGAGGATTGGCAGATTAAATAGACCAACCTGTCAACCCATTTATTTTTTTTCATGAATTTAAGGGGAAAACATACCTAAATGATGAGTTCTAGTTTGACATTCATTCAAAATTAATTTAAGATACACCAAAATATTAATATATATGTTTGAATAAAATATATGAATTAATTCAACCTAAATTTTTCCTCTCTTCCTTTTTTAATTTTTTTAAAAATAATATGGGTTATATAGGCCAACCCTAACCTATCATGATTAACTTATGGTTCGAGGGTTATATGGTCCACACCAATCAATTTTTTTCAACCCAATATGACCTTTATGATTGATTATTGGACCAATTCATATAACCTGACTTATATTTTTGGCTCTAGCTGCACTAGTTATTGGAGGAGAATGAAAGAAATCCTAAAGAAGAAAAAAAATTCACATTGCCACATGAGTAATAACATTTCTTTTGGAAGAAAGAAGTAAAATGTTCAGTTTAGGAAGAAATTTCATTTTAAGGCTTTATCATTGAATGAATGTTAACTTTATCTTATTCTCATCTCATTCAGTTAAGGAACAATAGATTTACTGATTTCTAATAGAGGAAGCAATTTTTTCCCAAACCATTTGTCTTAATTTCATAATGCACATTTAATTAACTATCTCTCTGGAATTAGAGAAGTAGTTAAGTTATTAATTTTGTTTATGTTTTCTCTTATAGTTAATGGGTTTAAATAGAGATAATATTGACAAATTTAATTAAAATCTCATCAAATACATTATATTAAGGACAACAAAAACATTGTAAAAGGTGCCTTATGATAAGGAATAGAAGAAGTACATTTTTATATTTTAATATTTTGAGAAAATATAGATTTTGATCCTTAAGTTTTTCTCCATTATTGATACGGCCTTGAATTTTGATTTAAAATAATTTAATCTTTATAATTTTTAACCTAAAGTAACTTGGTCCTTATTTTAGTCAATGCGACTCATTCTCTATAAAATTTTAACTCAATAAACTATTAGAATTGAGTTGTATTAGTTAAAATTTAAGGACTAAATATATAATTAAAAAATTAAGGATTAAAGATTATATCATCTCTAATATTTTATACACATGTTTTTTTTTTTTGAGAAAAATACTTTATAAACATGTGAAGTAGTATTTGGCAACAATTTTCTGGGTTCTTATTGAGGATCAACTAATTCCGAACATGTTGATGCATCAATTTCTTTAATGTTTCAGTGGTCGTTTCATGTTCATGGTGTCCAAGTTTCATTAACTATCAATTTGACCGCTGATAAATGTGACGAATTCAACCAACTGATTTATAGGTTCTTTTTGCCCCCATTGCATGTGCTCTGTTGTCCGTAAGTAACTTCTATGATTCTAAAATCTCCATCAGGTCACTATTTATAAAATATTAATTATATCTGAACTTCAGGGCCTAAATACCTAAATAGGTCTACTTAAATTTTTTTAATTAATATGACTACCTGACTAGATTAAATTCGAGTATAGTTAGGTTGAACTGAAAGTAACTCTTACAAAAATATTTTCTGTATTTATAAGAACTCAAATTCTAAACCTTAGGCCTCATTTGGTTCATAGGAAATAGGATTAGGAAAAGGAAACAAAAAATGAGTTTTCCTTTACTTGCTTGACATGACTTGAAACTTGATTCGTGGGAAACTATTTTCAAGGAAGAAGCCAAAATTTGGGTTCCTAAGGCAGAGCTCCTTGGAACCCAAATATTAGGACTATCGTGTCCTTATTAAAACATCACAATTCTAAATATGCCTTTCTAAACTAAACCCAATCCTTCAACCATTTTTCACATTGCACTCTGGGGCTAAGAGGGAAGTTGCAAAGCAGATGCCGGCATGATGGAGTGAAGATCTAGAAGCAAGGTGTGAGGTGGACATTGTTGTGATAGAGGTTTGAAGACATGTTCAAGCCATGCAATGAACGTTTAGAGTGATAACGATGAAGAAGATGAAAAGTTAGGTGAATTGCGATTCAATTGCGATGAGATTGAAGGTTCAACTTCATCTTAAACTTCAATTCAGATTGCAAATTTAAAGACGAGCAATGAGGGCATATTGTGATTCAGATCAAAGGTTCAAAAGTCACAACAACCCACAATGGAAGGTTTGAAGATTTTGTAGTTCATGCTCAATCGATTTTGCTTTTTTATATTTTTAACTTGCATCAATCTGATGTGCATTGCAGATCTGATGTTTAGGGGGTTATTCTTGTTCATGAGTTTTAGATCTATTTATTGTATTGGCTCTTTGCACTTTAGATTTTTTTTTTTTTTTTTTGTGGATAACTTGAATTTTTGGGTTGAGTTTTGGTAAATTTTAGCCATGGAAGAACAAGGTGGAAGAATGAGGAGGTGAAGAAGATGAGGGCGTTGTGACTTTCTATATTTTTAAGACATAAATCAAATAAAAATAATATGATGATTCCATGTATATTTTTCTATCATACTAAACAAAATTAAAAATACATTTCTATTCTTTTTCTATTTCCATTTCCTATTCCTTTTTCACTTCTATTTCTCTTAAAATAATTCCAATGAACCAAACAGGGTCTTATATTTAAAAAATCATAATTCCTTCTAATAGGATTGATGCCTACTTGGTAGATCCCCTTAAAATTAATTGGTATTAACAAAATAAATAACAGGGCATAAAAAAAAAGGTGAAGTTTGAAGGTAAACTTATTTGAGATACTATCAAATACTAAATATGTACACCTATTTTAATGAAGATTTGAATATTAATTTATCACACTATAAGACAATAATTTTTTCTACTAACCCAACCGCAGTTAGTATAGCCTGGTACAATTTCAACAAAGGATCCATCTAGCCTTTTGATATCCCAGCTCAGTTACATGGATGAGAATTGTGG